ACCTCTCAGTAGAAATATTAAACTTTTGTTTAAAAGAGCTGCTGATGTTGGTTATTGATTCAGAAATGTGACTCATCACGTTTGAACACACGTCAAAGTTCAATTGATGATGAAAATCAATAATATCATGAAACTCTGTGAGCGGTCTGCAGGTACGAGGTGAGGGAGTCGGGATGTGGAGAGATAAAACTGAAACTCTCTGTTTGTTCTTCAACATCTCGGTAAAAATGTCACGGCTCTGTTTCGACCTGTTCGAGACCCTGACGCTCAAATTCAAGAAAAGCATCTCAACCTCTGACACTTGTTGCTTCTGACTGGAAAAGTAATAATCAAACTTTGTGTTAATGCAACAGTGACTGAGTTCGTCCTCTACAGAGGAGACGGGTCCACAAACATCTACAGACACATCTGACACGCAGCGTCTGCAGCTTCCAACCAAACAATCGTCCGTTCAAAACTTTAAAAACAGAACTCACCGGCTCAGGTTCTGCTGGTTGTTGAGGACACGTCCCCACAGTCGGTCCAACAGCTCCGTCCTCACAGACGCCACATTTCTCTGAGAGCAAAGCAAAGGCCAGTCAGTCATTGGTTCTTGATCTGTTTCAGCAGATAATAATTCTCTTTCACAGTTTCTCAAAGATAAATTGAAGCCAGCTTCATCTTTTCTTCCACTTTCCTCCTCTGAGCTTTGATTTCACTATTTATAAAAAGTTGATGTGGATTCACGGGCGGATTTTGAGTTTAAGGCCACGAACACATCCATGCTACTACGTTTTAGTTTTAAACACCATCACTGTTGCTATGGTTACGTCTGGCGGAGTTTTCCAGACCTGTGAAAACTCAGCTGGTCTCGTTTTAAAACTCCGGGTTTGTGTTTTAGTCCGGACGAACAGAACCAGTGACTAAAGAAATCCCTGCTCGTACTTTTCACCTTCACTGTTCCTCGTAGTATTTTCTCTTCCTATGCAACCCGCTGCAGAGGAGACGATCTACTTCCTGTTTACATGACCGTTCACACGCACCGATCCTGTCACGTGTGTTTTCAGGTGTGTTAGCGTGGACGGATTATTACTTTGATTCACTCGTGACGATCAGTGTTGGCGTTGGGAGCTGCAGGTGTTTGTTGGTGTGGATCAATGTCGACTCAGACGGAGCTGATGAGTTCACAGTCAGTCTGACGAGTGTTTCCAGCTCTGAACATGTGTGTGTGAGTGTGTGTGTGTGTGTGTGTGTGTGTGTGTGTGTGTGTGTCCTTCACATGTAAACCTGTGTGACAACTTAGCGTGCAGCCTCTCCTCATCCCTCTGATGGATTTAACACGCTTAAATCAAGTGTCATGTAATTTGAAACGTTATTGCTCCCTGCAGGGAAATCCTCTTTCCACTCGACCCCTCTACTCCCAGAGGTCAAAGGTCACAGGTGAAGGTTGGCTGCAGAGCAGGACTCCCACCTGCAGGTGGAGGGTTTGGCTCAAGGACACGTCAGCAGGGAGGGTTTCTGCACCGTTACGTAATCCCGCAGCTCTGCCAGTGCGTTAAAGACGCCTAATCTGTGGTAAACAAAGGGGGGGGGGGTATTTTTAAATCAAGCCTTCGTTCAGTCAGAGCAGGAAAGTCTCCGTGTCTCCGTGTCTCCGTGAGACGCTGGAAGTGAAGCAGCTTTATCTGTCCGCTCAGTTTGTTTGATCAGTTTGGTTTAGGGCTGAAAGTTTCTTCCTCTGAGGTTTAATTTCTCTGACAAATCTTTCACGAGCTGCCGGTCTCTGTTCCTCCTCACACTTTTCAGATGCTTCTGTTTATTACTTCACGTTCAGCAGGAGTGTGTTAATGTGCAGGTTTTAACATTTACTCTGTTTTTCAGATTAAAAACAAGAAGCTTCGTCTTCTCTTCTACATTTTACTTTTTGAAATGCATCAACTGAGCACCTACAGCCACATCAGAGCTAAATGCTAATGTTACCATGCTGATGTTCAGCCACTGTAACGTCCGCCATCTTAGCGTGTTAGCCTGCTAATATTTGCTAATGAGCTGTGAACGCAGCTCAGGCCGATGGGAACGTCAAACGTTTTGCAGTTTGGTCATGAACCACAAAATGTTTGATAAAGAAAAAAGACGCTAATTGTAGCTTTAACCTGATGGTGGCGCTAGATCACCACAGTCGTAGGATTCATCATCAGGGAACCACGAATATTAGTTTTTTGTATTTTTATGTCAAGATATTTCTCGTTTTTCAAAATTTGAGATTCACAGAGAAACTGTTCAAATGTTCACTGGACACAGTGAACGAGAGTTTTAGGTCAAGTTCAGGATTTATCCGTTGTCACTTCTCGTTCTTTGTTCATATAGTTGTGTACATTTAAAATCTCTTTATGATCTGGATTGGATTTTATTCTCAGACGTGGTCTTCATGGTGGTCTCGTGTGTCGTAACACAGGAATTCTTCCTGCTTCCTCTTTTGTCCCTGAATAATCAGGAACTATCATCGTGCTGTGAACCAGCAAACATCTCTTTGTTTTATTGTTGAAGGAACTGATTTGAGAATAAATGGATCCTAACAGCGATGCACATGAAGGCCTTTCCAGAGCAGAGCCGGCTCCGCCACCGGCTCCTGATGCAAAACCACCCCGGCTCAGATCATTAAGGAATTGTATTTAGAAAATTTGGGTCTGTGTAGTAATGAGGGCACAAGGGAAAATTAAAAACACGAAGCTCAAAGTGCTGCAGAGACAAAAAATGGCTTCAAGGCAGATATCAAGTAAAACTGTCTCTCTCTTTCTCTCTCTCACACACACACACACACACACACACACACA